GATTTATTAATTATTTCTTTGTATGTTGATGATCTTCTCATAACTGGCAGCAACATTGCTTTAGTGCAAAAGTTCAAAAAAGAAATGCAAAATGTGTTTGAGATGACTGATTTGGGAGAAATGTCATATTTTCTTGGTATGGAAATTCTTCAAACTGAGCAAGGAATTTTCATAAGCCAAGAAAAATATGCTAAAGATGTGCTGAAAAAGTTTGGCATGGAGAATTGCAAAGATGTTAGCACTCCACTGGGTTTGAATGAGAAATTAAGCAAAGAAGATGGAAGTGATAAAATTGATGCTGGAATTTATAGAAGTTTGATTGGTTGTTTGCTATACTTGACAGCAACACGACCTGATATTATGTTTGCTACAAGTTTGTTGTCAAGATTTATGCAAGCTCCAAGTGAAATACACTTCAAGGCTGCAAAAAGAGTATTAAGATATGTGAAAGGAACAACAGATTTTGGTGTTTGGTTCAAGAAAGGAGAAGAGGTTCAGCTGATTGGATTTGTGGATAGTGATTGGGGTGGCTCACTTGATGATATGAAGAGTACCTCAGGCTATATTTTTACCATTGGTTCTGGCATGATCAGCTGGAATTCTAGAAAGCAGGATGTGGTGGCTCAGTCAACAGCTGAAGCAGAGTATATTGCTGCTACTGCTGCTGTCAATCAAGCCATTTGGCTAAGAAAAGTTCTTGAAGACTTGCATCACATGCAAGAGAATGCTACTGTAATTTTTTGTGACAATCAATCTGCTATAGCTATGACAAAAAATCCTGTGTTTCATGGAAGAACCAAGCACATCAAGATCAAATATCATTTTATTAGAGAAGTAGAAAAAGAAGAAGTCAAATTAACTCATTGCAGCTCTGAAGATCAGTTTGCAGATGTTTTGACTAAAGCATTGCCCAAAGCAAGGTTCGCACAACTAAGGAAGAGTTTGGGAGTTTCCAGCAAAAGTGCCAAGGAGGAGTGTTGAAGTAGGTGGATTGTGGCACATTTGCTGTCACATCTTCTTCTGTTTTTTTGTAGTTTGTGAAGCAAAGTTATTAATGAGCGTATGGTGTATGGTACGGGAGAGTGCCTTACTTCTGTGGACAAAATCTTTTTTATTTGTTTTTGTTTTGTTGAAGACCACGTCTTCTTGCTCTATCTGTCTCTCTCCATATACGTATCTATAATGTATTGAAGTTACTGTAGAAAAACAGAAAACACATGTTGCTATTCATTTTTTACTTTTCCGATTGTTCTTAGTTCTTCAAGTTTGCTCTATCTATTAGCCTATTTCCATCTTCCATCCTCTGCTCTTTCAAAAAACCAACAATTATTTCGAGGATAAGGCTGATATTAGGGTGGCTGGCTGGATGACTAAACTTCTCTCTAAGGCTGGTACTATTGTTCTCCTAAAAACAGTA